AAAAAAAAGTGGGGGGGTGGAGACGTCGTCAAATCTCTTCACTTGCACTTTATTGTCCTAGAGAGCTCCCCTTCCAAACCGAATATGGATAAGGAATCCCCACTAATTTGATTCCTTGTAACCGCAAGCTCTTCATGGCTGGGGCTGAATTCTCTGATCTACAGAACTTTGTTGCAAAATAGCTTTTCCCGGATCCACTGCATACGATTACAAGCTGATAATTCATGGTGTTCATAGATGAGAGCAAATCGCACATGTTTCCGAAAGAATGACGCCATGCTTGTGCTCGATGAGGACTCTGAAAAGGACGCCTTCCTCTCGAAAGGTGAGCACTTTAGATTACATGACTAAGCTGCACTCGAACGTAAAGCTGGGCAGAAACAACGATAAAGCAGGTACCAGTCAAATTCTGATAGAAAAAAAAACGGCAAAAATTTCATTTCTCGTGAATTTGAAGCGAGCGATGAAGGCGCCATGGCTGGGAAAGTTGATCGGAGCACTATGCACAATCCGCACCATTCGGATAGGACCCATGGAAGTTTTCAGAGGAGGCGCAAACACCTAGAATGCATGATTTAAGAGTTTCGAATTTCTCCCCAGCCTATAGAGATCAGGCTGATAGCACCAATAATAATGAGGAGCTCATCTGATCAAAGAGAAGTTCCTTCTAAGAATTCATTTACTAGACATTATAAATGCTGTGAACGCACTGAGAAAAGAAGTAATGAAATTCCAAATTTCTAGCTTTTCCGCCAAATACGAAACTCTGGCTAGGACTGCAGTACAAAGACTATCAGTGGACATGGCCTGGAGGCTACTCAGTGAGTTTTCACACTTCGAATTCCTTATTCATGGAATGGAAGGGCATTATTGGTCGCATCTCACTAGGAATATCCCTCCATGGCACGTTAAAGGACGTGGAGCGTGAAACTAATGGCCGTCTTTCAGAGCGTCCCTGGGATTGCCAGAGAAAAGGGCAGAAAATTTCCCTTGAGAAGTGAAACTTTTCCATTTTCAATAAACTCTACAGCATTTGTAGAGTTGAGTAGTTGCATTTTGGAAGCTTTTTGTTCACTGAATAAGTTTAGACATATATGAGCCCAAGAAAGTGGAAATCAGAGAAATGCAAAATTTGTTCCTCAATGGGATCGAACCACAAGCCTGGTTTCGGCATGTTTTTTTTAGCATTGTCAGAGCCGCTCAGAAGAAATTATTCTTAATTCTCTCCCATAGCTCTTCATGTCCTTTCAGTGTCCGCGAAAGGACTCTACTGTGGCATTAATGCAAGATTGTTTTACATACATAGTCGGAATACGCTTGAATTTTAGTAATTCTTACTGTCAGAAATATCACAAAGACTGGTGCTCCACCTCACATAAGGCGATGTCAAATCAGTTGCCACTGGGATCAAGCTAAGTCGCTATGCGCGAACTGCTGGCCTACGCAGCGTTGCACAGCCGATTTCGACCGATGCAACTAGCGAGTTCGACTATCGCTACAGCTAGGTCAACCGGCGCGATGTTAACTCAGGGCGCTGACTCATTAGTTGGCGTGGACCCAACTTCGGATGGCAATACAGTTGTCCATCGTAAACCGTGTACACTTTGCAACACCAGCTGTCCCGAATGCTTTGATAGTGGGGCACCGTTAATGGTACACGTGGCGGGCTTCTTAGAACAACTTGACAGGTTCCCCACGACGCGTCGCCGCTGGTACATCGTTGGACTCGCTGGTACATAGTTGACTCGCTGGTGCAACGTTCGATTCGCTGGCGCAACGCTCGGATCCAGCGATTCGCTAGCGATTCGCTCGATTTGCAAACTACGACTCGACTTTACCCCCTACGTTCCAAACCCTATTCGGCCTTTCCAGGTTTTTTCTCAGAGAAAGTCAAATTTCGAGAAAACCAGACAAACAGACAAAAAATTCATACAGTGAGTAGGATGTAGGGCAGCGTTATCATGATTGTCTGATTTGAGGCTGGCTTCACGAATTGGGCTCCGGGTCAACCGAATTATCAAGCAGGCAATTGTGCCTATATGCAACTGTACTCCGGATCAAGGTTAGTTGATGTTTCGCTTTTTTTCTATCATCATTCAACTCGTCCATTGTCTTTGCTCTTTACATTTAACACGCTTAGAGGCAAACCCTGCGATTAGCCCGACTAGAAGGAAGGATACCAGGGTTGCGGGGTACGTACCTTCATAGATCATGCCAGCTTCGTTGCCCAAATTGCGCGATTAGGGCGCTAATCCATTACGAACCTGCAACCATCGACCCTCGCTGCAACGCTTCCCACCCACCGCTATTGATATAGAGATCAGCGTGCTCTCTCGCGTGTTTTGTCTTCTTTGATCGCCCTGTCTCGCCATCGTACCACATCCGACCTTACTGAAGGTTAAGGCCTTAATTTAGCGTTCCCGATGATTTCTCTTGCTTTCCTTTCCACTTTCAGTTCATTCCGCAGCTCAGTCATCACTACGAAGCGCTCTTATACACCAGTTTTATCCCGGAGTCTTGCCTTTAAGGAAGCGATTACGATAGATCTCAAAGGGGTTTAGAGGGGACGTGGGGGTCTCAATAGTACGCCAATGGCGAAAAAAGCAAAGAAATCCGTCAAAAATAAGCAAAATAGTACCCCTTTCATTTTCGACCATGGATGAGCGACGGTAAAGAACGACGTTGTTCGGACGTGTTAACCCCGATAGCCGCCATCATGCCAACAAGCATAGTGTTTTGATTGATAAGGCAATACGTGGGCAAGTTGGAAGATACAGCCGCTAGAAGGGAAATGATCATCCAAAATGAAAA